ATCACAGCTGTCAGCCGCGAGATATTCCACGTTAATGCATTATGTATTTTCTGTTGCCGATTTAATTTCGAAAAAAATATTCCACAGGAGGGTCATTCTAAGAGGAATCTCACGTTAAACTTTTCGCGACAATATCGGGCATTCTAAATTCGTCGATGGGATTCGCTATTTAAATTTCTCAGTGGATTATCACTGTCGAGGACGTCGCTTTACGATGTAAATACATCCATTACTCATTCATCCGCAGTGTTGTGTGATTATTTCGCGCTAGAATGAACCACATAATTATTGGCTGTTTGGCTTTATGAAGTTTTAATTAGAATAATTGTCGAATTTATATTTCTCTCATTCTCATTGTCATTGTCTAGTAGCATCCGGTAACATTTACAACCACTTTGAAAGAAATCATAAATTTATCTACGCAATTTTCAGCGATCAACAATTGCATATTGTCGCATATTTTAATGGAAAGTCCATTTTAATAAGTTTCATTTATATTTCACATTTTTTTATGTCAAATCAACGATATTGTTATTATCTTTTTTATAAACAAATATAAATAATTACTACACGACTATTTCGCAACGAGAAATCAAGTGTCTCTTGAGCGGCCAATAAAACTACAACAGTTTGGGTCGACTGTGATATTTACTTTTAATTACAATTTACCTCACGACTTTGCCCCTTTTATCGCGCTCGCCAAGTACCGACTTCGCGCTGAAAAAGTGCTCCGGAGTGTCGCCGTACGCGAAATAGGCGCTCCTCCCCTACCTGGCATTAAGCACTGTCGCCGTAGACGCTAATTTAAATACGACAAGAATTCCAGATTTCCTCGGCGTAGGGTGTGAGAGTGGAGCTACTTTACTACCTAATACATAGGGAATGCAGATACGTATCGGACAGTGCGATGGGACGGGGCAGCGGCGCACAGGCGGGACGGAGAGGGAATTGTTTTTGTCGTGGGGGGCAACGGAAACTGGCGGGACACGGGGGTGCGAGAAGTAGAAGGGAACGAAGAGCGGGCGGAGGAGGAGGAGGAGGCGAAGGGCAGAGAGATGGTTAAGAGAGAACGGGGTGGATTCGGCTACGCAGCGCTACCGCGGCCGACCCGGGAAACTCGGACGGGGTTGGTCCGAAAGCTCTCTCAGTCGCGGACAAGCCGCCACGCAGTGATAACACTTTATATATCGGCGGGCAACGCTGACTTAAACCCGATTCCGCGTATCATACTACTGTCGTTCAGATAAGAACGTAAGTTTGTTAGTGAGCGCATGGACAATTTAATTAAATCTCTTAATTGGAATATGAAAAGCAAAACTGTGTCGAACGAATGATCGAGCCGATTGCAGCTTTAAGATCCACGTGGTGGATCGTGAATTTCTATCGTTAGAACTTTGCTCCGAAAATTGCAGTCTTCAAGATTTGTCTCGCATCATTTAATAAATTTGTCCGGTGATAATTTTATGTGCAAAGCGAATAGCACAAAAATGTTACACAACCGTCGAGCAATTAAGGGCATTTCACGGTTTTCATCTTGTATAAGAATACTGGCACCTTGTCACCGGTGGTCATCCAGCAGCGCAGCTGCAATAGCGACTAACGAGAAGCCGTACTCTTGTATTTCATTGTATCGTCGTGATACCATGATTCCGTGCTGCGTTATCATTCGGCAATTAGAGTAACAAGCGTGTGCACATTTTTATGGTGCCCGGTTTCGTTCACATTTATTTCTCTGTACATTTTTATATATTTCTGTACATTTCGAATCTGAGGCATGTAAAAAATTTTATAAATTAATTTTAAAAATTTCAGGTTTTGAATTTTTTATAGATCTAACGAATTGTCGTGATAAATATATTTTGGATTGAATAATTAATAACTTTTACATTATATAAAATAATCTTTTAGTTCTCTTTTCTTATTATTTTCGAGAATTGAAATAGTGTTAAAGTGTTAAAGATAAGGCATAATTTAAAGTTCAAAGGATCGAAAAAAACGTGATAGTGGTGGAGAGAGATAACAAGGTGTGATGGATTTCCCTAAGCATATATGAGATTCTCTTTGAGCTGATCGTGCTAATATAGTGGCTTGGTTTTTGGCAACTGGGTGAGCGGCTAATTTTCAGTTGACCGTGCGAAAAGGCAGTTACGAACTTTATGATTACACAGCACGAGCGGATTGTTTCATTCGTCGATTACATGCAAGCTCGCAGATACAATTCGCGAAGTGTTGTAACGAGGGACGGATTGCGTGCAACGATATCGCGTATCTCGTTTTCAGGATGATTTCATACGCGTAAGAAATTATCCAAATCACCATATTTTGCTAAATCTCGACGTTAAAAGCAGCTTTTTTTCATTTAACTTGGGGCTCTGTAGGAAGAGCTCGTAACTGCAAACAGGCTTATTAATTCACGCGATGGTCCTGCCGAACGAGCCAAATGTACTTTTGCGAGAAGGTGAGAATGGAGTCGGTACACTTATCATTTGGAGCGCTTGGGCCGACTCCAATTTCTGGCAATTGCGGGCGTTGCGGATAAAAAGCGGGTCAACCAACGCAAAGTGCAATAGCATGGCGCGACGAATGAAAAAGATTTCGCATTTAATCGTATTGCGCGACGTGCCTGCAACGTTCGTTAAATATTCATGACAGCCGCACTGTGAGACTTGCAGGTGGCTAAATTATTTATGATTCTTTTATGTCATAATCGAGTATAACAACAAAGCAAAAGTTGTGTTGCAAATACGGGGATTGTAGAATGTTTGCGCAAAACTCATTTGTTTGTTTTGTGACGCGTCTTTTTCCAGACCTTTTCACATACATTTTATTAGTTAATTATTACAATTTCCACTGAATTTTAATAATGGGTCATTTCGTAAAATGAGCAAGATACAATTATACTGCCTTTGAAAAATTGTTACTAATTTTTCGAATAATCTTTGGAAAAGTGTTTTATCAAACGAGTTATAAGATAGAAAAAAACGACAGATATGACGGATAAGTTCGCTGTTTACGAAGTTGAATTATAAAGTTCTGCAAATTATGTAACTCGCGCCATCGAATCTCTTTTCTTTTATCTTTGCGCTGTAATGAATATTGGAATTTCCATTTCATCCTCGTGACGAGTTACGTAACATTCGTCGTAATCGTGCTCACGTGATATTGCGGCTTGCTGCAATGAGAGAAGGTGACAAATTTCATTCGATATACTTCGTCGCAACTGTTGTAATCGGTTGTTTGCAAAGTTGCAGCAGCGTATGTCTTTACGGCCGGAAAGCTGCTACGTAATCGTCGAATTAGAGCAACGATGAAAGACCAATTCCTGGATAATCGAACCAGCTCTCACTTCCCGTTTAGCTTCCGCGCGAGACGTTATATTGCTTCATCTCTCAAGTTCGACAGAAATTCTCGAGTCGTGCCGAAGCAGTTGGCTTTTTCTCATCCTCTTTAATGTTTTTAACGTCGAAACATCGTTCATCAGCTCCGTCATATTCTCTTCACTCTTGTGTAACAAATGAATGTATCTCGTTGCAGAATTGAAATCATTCGTTATCTCGCTATGAATAATTCTGATCCATTAATTGGAATTGCAGATATTATTTGATTATTTCTCAAATTTAGTCAACGATACATTAATCAATATATGCGCCAACATATTTGGAGCGAAACGCGAATGTTTTAGATAATACGAGTCTAACGTAAACGGTCATGCCTTTCGCCGTTAGTTTAGTGCGCTTTCTATATCCTCGGTTTCGTAGCCGAATATGCAGCGAGCTATTTAAACTTTCGGTCAACGGAGAAGTAGTTAAAGTTCGGGAAATTCGGGTAACGCGTGTGTACTTTAATTAACACGCATACGTAGGAAGTCCTTGGTTATTAAGCCTTGTCGTCTGAAAATTGGATGTACAAATCCAGCAAATGCTCATTCCATACATATATATTATATTACATATATTTTCATATTCATATCCGCATATATTCGCATAAATTCTCCATTTGTCATGAAATACGATTGCACAGAAATACATTCAGCGAGTTAACGTCTCTCAACAAATGGGCTCCAATTATTATAATCTTTTTTGCACATAATATTTGCCATATTGATTTATATTTGCATTTCATCCAATTTTATACTTTGTAATAAATCATACATTATTTTAAAAATATACATTGTTTAACGTTAAAGTTTCATAAAATTCGAAAGCTTTAGAGGCAGAGATTTACTTGATTAGACTCCAGCTGAACTGTTCTAATTATCCGTAGGACGAAAAAAGTTCAGACGGAGAGGGAGGTGGTGCATCTGATTATCGGCACAGCGGAGCGGAATAAATCCTAAAATCCACCGAATTTCGATGCCCCGAAGCATGTCGTAATCGAGTCACTCCGCGGTCAATCTTAAACTACGAGCTATACGAGTGACTCTGCGGCACTCGCGCCTCGGCACTTTAATCCGAGAGACTTGAGAGTGCACCTGGTAGACGACGATGGTATATCTCTCTCCCCGGCTGCGAAGTTCGGGTTAGCTTGCGAGAGGAATGGGCGCAAGGAGGGCGCGGGAACGGTAGACCCAATTACATCTCGTTCGTGCAGAATTGGACGAATACATACAAGATGCTTAAGACGCCTTAACTACCTCGGGATTTGTACCCACATTCTAACTGTCGAGATTCGTTTAAGTACCTTACACTGGACTTTCGTCGGTTACCAAGGATTTCCATCGGCCCATAAATCCGTCTCGGTAAACTCTGACAATTTTCGCCAGATAGCTTTTCCTATCTTTCTTTAACTGTCATTCTCGACTTTGATTTAAATCTGGCTGTTTCATTTCTGTAATATTATCTGCTTGTGATCAGATGTATTTGCGTGCTTTTTATTCAGCGTCTAAAAAAAGAAGGAATTTTTACGATCGATATAATAAAATAGAATTACTCGCCTTAAATAATTATTCCGCGCGGCATTTGATCCATTGTGCCTTTGACACGACCGTCTCTTTGTTACAGGACACTTTGCCGCAGATACGCAGAAAACTGATCTTTTTCCGGAACGATAATGTGGGCGTTTAACAACGGAACGTGGGCGGTGATGAAAGAAATTCTAGGAAACTGAAGATCCAAGATTAACTGACGGTTAATGTATATCGGTGCTTCGGGTTAATGGAGCGCAGCTTGAGCGAAAAGGGACGCGATGACACGCTGCCAGCCGAAGACTGAGGCCTGTTGAGCCAGGATTAGAAGACCGTTTTAAACCACTCTCGTCTTCATCTCAGATCGATCAAATCATTGACGCGAGCTTCTCGTAAAGCTTCACACACCTCGTACACACTGGAATCAGTATCGTGCGCAAAGGCTGCTGCAATCACTCCACGGTTTACAAATCTGTGGAAATCGGAAACTGCGGTCCTGCACGACAACATATCCGCCAAAGGAAAGGAAGAAAATTGCGGGAGAGAGTGAGAAAGTCGTACCTTCGGTTGTCCTTAATTCCGGATGATCAAAGGATCGCTTGCCGAGGACAGATTTATTCTATGTCTCACGAATTCCTGAGAGGCTAGTCGCTGCGACGCAAAGGTTTCGTAAACGATATATTCGTCGGTGAATTAAAATATGTACCTCGGCCGGTCGTTCGGACAATCAATAATGCCGGGTCGTAAAACTCTGCGCGCGGCACGCAGCGTGTCTGATAAATAATGCAATTCTGCCGGGAGAGTCGATGTCTCGGAGTGTGAAACGAAAAGCGCTGGATCATCCTTTGTGCTGAAGAGACTTCGAAGGATCTTACGTGAATTACCAGGACGGGCGAACATTGTGTTACGTGAATCGATTTCGTGAAGTTGACCCGGAGTGCTGGATTGCTGGAAGGCATCAGGAACGAGGATTAACAGGTGCGGGTATTATAAATGAATAATCGTGCGCGCTATGCGAGAAGTGCTTGAGAAGGTGCGGAATTCCTTAAATTTTTCGCGAACCAGGTCGATTTTTGTGACATCACCGCGGAACGATTTGGGATAGTGTCGGATCTAGCAAATATTTGGCCGTGCTTCGAAACCGAGTAGTTTAACGCGCCACGGAGCATCTCATCGTGATTCAAAGCTCGTCGTTCGAACGTTGAAACGAAAAAAAAGGAGGACTTTCCATATTGACATGCCGATGTCAAACATGATTCGTGCGGATGTGTGACGGAGCGCATAAATCGCGGTACACGAGCAATTAAGAAGTAAATCGGAGGAGCGGTAATTAACGTAGTGACTAAAGACGCGCATGCTCGTGGTAATTAATTACTTTCAATGTGAGTTTAGAAAAGTCGGAGGGTCCTCTCTTGGGAGCCATTAAATGGACTTGAAGAGTAACTCGTGAATAGGAGCGTGCAGCGCGAATAAATTTCTAGAATACCCCTAATTGCCGAAGCAATAAAGTTATATAAGCTTTGGCGAAGAATTCTTGCAAATATACGAAGGTTCTTAAGATATAGTGAAAATATTCGAATAAAGGACGACGACGGGATACGGATCCATTCCAAGATCCGAAGAAAGTCAAGCTCGTTTTGTGTTCGACAATTCCGGGCGAACCAGAATGCAGACGATGCCGTGCGCGCTTCGTTAAACTGACAATAATCGTCAACCGTGTGTCACAAACTCGTACGTGGGAAAGTGAGTGCTTGCAAATGAGATTCCGGCGATGACGTTGTTTCGTGATTTGAGCACTGGAGCGTCACTCTATGCGTGAAAATTTGACTCGTCTTCCACGAGCGCGCGGTACGTTTCGAGAGGAAAAGAAAACGTGATAAGGAAAAAAGCATTCGAGAGTTATCTCTCGAAAAATCTTCTTCTCAAACATATCTTACACAGAAAGGATCGAGAACAATTATTGTTAGTCAGCATTCGAGCTTTATCAAAGAATTTGGGCATTGATAACGTTAAATTTATTGAATATTATATAAGAAAAGTCTATAAAGAGATCCGTACAAAACAGATTAGCGCGTGTCAGTCGGAATTATCTAAGAAAAAAAAAAAAAAAAAACAA